TTTTTTTTTTTTTTTTTTGTGTTTTTTTTTTTTTTTTTTTTTTTTTTGTAGGAGAGTGATGAGGAGAAAAGTGATTATCACGTGGTCGTGGATGAGGTATGTGGCAGGTTTATGGAAAGGTTTTGCCTCCAGCTTCAAGCGAGAGCAATTCCCCATGGGCGTCAGATTAAATTATGCAAGAGCTCCAACATGGTGGAGGAACTGTGTATAATTCGTGGCAGGTTGCGGGGTTCATCCCTCCCGTGTACCTTGGGTGCAGAAGTGCACACAAAAACCTATTGTGGATCATTTCAGGTTCTGGGGTCAATCTGGCGTTTTCACTGAGGGGCCTTGCGGGAAAAACTCTGCAACCTTCTAGCCAGGGAAGCAGGTTAGCCGCCCTCTGAGAAATGCTTCCTCAAAGCACCACAGATATCTTTATTTATTTTCTGGGGCTCCAGAAGTCTGCAAGCCCTTGTCACTGGAGCTGAAAGATCACACAACTGTAGCACCTCACACTGTGTTTGTCCTCACCGCAGCCCGCAAAGTGCCAGTCTTGCATCCGACTTTTTCTGAAGACCCTGAATTTGGGGCAGGGGTGTAACCTCTCTCAGCTCATGGGCTGAATTCCATTTCAGAGAATTCTTCTCGCTTTCGGTAATTAAACCTTGGGGGAAGCATCTGTACATCTTAGACTTGAAGAAACTACCAAAGCCGAGCAACCACCAAACGCTTCAGCAATCGGTGGCAATTGGAGGGGGTGTGGCTTTTGGGGAGCTCTACGGGTCACCCCAGACTTCTCTCCCAAGGCTCTGCACCATTGCTGTCACTGGATAATCCTACATGCAGCCTCTTTTCCTGCTTTCCTTCCTTTCCTTCATGCCTGCCCAGGATCCTGCTTCAGAAGATGTGAGTCCTATTAGCACAACTGACAGTAAGATCCTTTCGAGCCAGAAGGAGCAGCTCAACAGTTCATCCTCAGTGGTGTTGAATAGTTGCAAGATGCCCTTCAAGAGAAAGGACCAAGACCTGGTAAGCTGCACAATTTTTGGCCCTCAGTCTATTTTGGGGGAGCCAAAGCCAGGATATTTTAGGTGCAGAGCAGTGGCTTGAATGTTGGAACTGGCAAATCCAGGTTCTGGTCAGAGCACTTCTAACCTACCTTGGCTATTTGCCTAACCCACCTCAGAATAAAATGAAGGGGACAAAGATCGTGGGAAAAATTCCCACGATCTGAGAAATGCATGGGGTGGGGCTGCCCACGTGTGGACGGAAGGCATCTTTAAACTGTGGAACTCACCACAGGCTTGTTATCCTGCCTTTTCTTCTGCAAGGACAATCTTTCACCTGTCCCTGTTATGCTCCCAAGGTAGGTTGGGCTGAGCATCAAGTGCTGGGCCCAAATCACCCAGTGAGCTTCTTGGCCAAGTGCAGACTTGGGAATCTCCTTAGTCCCAATTTAGCGCTCCAACTACTATGCCACATGGGTTTAAATAGCTTTCTTTTTTTTTTTTTTTTTTTAAAGGTAACCTCATAGAGGTGGATTGATTATCAGTACTACCAGTTGTAAGGCAGTCTTCACTGGAGTTACAGTCACTGGGGGCAAACAGCAGGGAAGGGCTGTCACCTACATGTCCTTTGGGGGGCATCTCAGAATCTCTTGGCTGTCCTCTGTTGGAAACAGGATGCTGGGATCAGATGGCAAAACCTGGCCTAGTCCAGGGAGGTTCTTTTTCCTTTGAGACACTAAAAGGGGATTGGGCATAATCATGGAAGACTTATTATTGGAAGTTGTTCAGGGTAAGAACCACTGACCTTCTGTCCCTGCTCGGGAAGTTAGCCTAGCTTTAACTCAGGTGGCTAATGGGCCTCCATTCTTGGGATTAAACAAACACTTTTCTTAAATAGAAGACCCTTTCTTTGTTTCTATAGGCTGTTGAATTTGTGATAGTTTTCACTACCCCACTGAATCATTGGTTGGGCTTTTGTATTTTAATGTACTGTTTGCTTCATCTGGTTTTTATTTAATGGTTAATTCTCTGTGTGTTTACTTGTTCCACTGCTGCAAACATAGCCAGTTTTGCTGTTTTGCTTGTTGATTATTCGCTTGTGGATCTGTTCAAAGAACCAAGCAGGGCATTCCCTCTCTGTCACCAAAGCAGGTAAAAAATGCAAATGCATGTAGAAAAGCAAGAAGGAGAGAATCAAACATTTAAGCATAACATGACAGAACTATGCTTGCCCTGATAAAGACTTTACAAACCTTCCCAGCAAAAAGGGCCAATCCGCCACCTGTTTTTGTAACTGGTTTTGCTGCTCTTCCTTGGGGGTGTTGGGATGGGTTTCCCTAAAATTGGGGTACAGTTACCATAAGCAAATAGATTCAGAGGCCCCGGCATGGCTAGAACCCAGGATGTGCCCTGCAAGAGGGCTGGGAATTCATTGGCATGGGTTTCTTTCCACCCCCACCACTTTTCTACTCCTGGAGCTTCCCAGAAGCACCTTTACCTCCCCTCAAAGGCATTTCCTCAGATGTTGCCCTTGTTAGAAGGAAACAGAACTCCTGGGCATGGTATGAGTTCCTGGGCAATACCTTCTCTCATCTTTCCTGGTCCTTCGCCATGTTGCAGGAGTTGCAGCCCGGATGCCTGGGTTCCATTCTGTGCTTTGCCTCCTCTCCCCAAACTCTGACTGTGCCTTTCTTTTCTTCTCCATCTCGCTTGCATCTTCCCCGCACGCCTCAGATGCATGGCTGGCTTGACCCTGTTAATTAGTGGCCCACCCAGGATTTTAATGTATAATTAAATGCTATTAGCGCAGGGTTGTGAGGTGGGGTGGGGGTGTGGAGAAGGTTGGGGGAGAGCAGGGGAGGGGCGTTACCGTAGCGGTATTACAGAGAGGGGGGAGCTCCTCATTCTGAACACGGGTCTTGAAACGGTGCTGCTTTCTGCAGCGGTTCTGGCCTGCTTTCTGTTCCATTTGGCTGCCTGGCTAAGCTCCCCACGCCCCGTGCCGCCTTTCTCTCCGCGCCTTTCTCTCCTCCGTGTCTCTGGGAAAGCAAACATTTCTCTACGCACGCACTCACCACTGAGCCAATCGTGGTGCAGATTTCATCGATCGCTTCGGCACCGCCAAGATCACCGATTGGAACATCGGGGGCAGTGGAAGGGAAGGGCTGGGCTTATCGATCCGCCTGTCAAATCCATTCTGCGCCCGGGGATGCCAAAGAAAAGCTGTGCAGCCTCCGCGAGGCCGGAAGGGCAGGTGTTGCCCCACAGACTCACCCAGTGGGCAGCCGGACTGGGAACAGTTCCCCAAAGCAGACGCCCTCAAAGAAATTGAGCCGCTTTCCCTCCCCATAGCCGAAAGACCAAATGGGGCACGTTCCTTTGCCATGAGGAGCTCCCTCTGCTTTAGGAAAAGATTTTAACTTCTGCAGGTCCCCCATCCCACCCCCAGGAAAAGGGTGTGTACGTAAGAACCCGCCTGGAGGTTAGGCCTGGGTGGCTAAGTAGAACCTCCTGGTTTATGGCAGTCTACCTTTGAACTTTTTCTGCTATGTGCATGCATCAGAGCAGGGAGGCTTCCTCTGTGTTTGGCCTTGGAGTGCTGAACTGGGATGCAGGAGAACTGATTCGGGTCCCCACTCAGCCATGAAGCTCACCTGGACCTGTGACAGACTTTCATCTTAACCTACCTCACAGGGTTGTTGTGAGGATGGAGTGGAGAGGAGGAGGTAGGAGAATTAGAGGTTCCTTGCAGGAAAACGGTAGAGTATAAATTTAATAAATATGCTGTACGTCACGAGCTGGCATGCACTTAACTGCTTTTACAGTCCTAAGAAGCACTTGTGCAGTTTTGCATCATAAACTAACTTGAATCAGGGCCCCATCTTGACTGGAAGGATAAAACAGAAACTTTTCTGCTGCCCTGATGCTTAAACACATTTACTTGGGAATAAGCATTATTTTGTTGCAAAAAAAGGGCAACAGATTCTTAAAATTGGAAGAATGAAGTTGGTATCATTATGCATGCGGTTCTTTTGGGATGCCTGGGCAGCAAGGTCCAGGACTTTGTCCCCCGATGCCCCACTGGGGGCTGACAGACAGGATGAGACCGCAGCAGGCCTGTCAGGGATTTCCTCCCTCCTTCCAGAGTTCAGGTGCACTGCCTCTGACCAAGGAGGTTCTACTCAGGCTCTAGGCAGCCCTACCCTCTTCTGAAGCTGCCTTGATAAAGCAGTCTTTTCCCTCCTAGAACGACGCGGGTTCCACCTCCAGTAAGACAACCAGCCTGTCACCACCCAAGGCTTTAACCCCTGGACCTGGACTGGGCCCAAGTTCTGCCTTCCAGAGCCAACGGACTGCCTTTAAGCCACCCAACTCGGAGAACATCAGTAAGTGGCCTTCCTGGGTGCATCCTTTTCATGAGCGTGTGTGTGTTTAAACCAGTCCCCCCGATTTAAGGCTGCACTCATGTCCCTCTTTCTTCTCTTCCCGCCAGCCCTGCAGAATGCACTTGACCTGTCATCCCTCACCAACACGTACAGGAAAATACGTCCCAGCATCCTCAGCAGGGAACTGGCCGCCCCCAGCTCCTACATGGGCATTCACTTCTCCCCACACATCAGTGGGACAATGATGTATAGACGATCTCCCATGGTAAGCTGAACCCAGTGCCTTTTCTCAGAGGTGGGTGATCAAGGGTTCTCTGGGGATGGCTGGACTACAGCTCCCATCATGCCTGAGCAAAGATTATGCTGACTGAGGTGGATGGGAGTGATGAGTCCAGCAACATCACTTGGTATTCTCCATATGTTTTGGACTACAAATCCCACTCTCTGTGGCCACGGGCATGCTGGGCATAGAAGTTCAGAACTCATGGGCTTAGGTCTTCCAAGCTGCTTCTCTCCTAGGAACCTACGGCTGGACAGATCTGTCTATTTGCAGTTCATGTCACTTTCTCTTGCTTCAAATTCCTAAGTCTTCCCGTGTCCTATTTCTGTATTGATCGGAAAGTGACTCATTGGCTAACAAAGAGTGCAAAACCTCATAAGTATGTCAATGCTCAGATTTGACTGGCTCTTTCTCCTCATAAAATTCCCATTAAAAACGCATTTTAGCCCAAAGTCTGCATTTCTAAATTTGATGTGTGTGCGTGTAAATTCATTGTGAGACCCCCTTTTGGGATCTGGGGTGGAACAAGGCTTTCCTCCCTGCTCCTTTTCATTGGAGAAGCCAGGAGTTAAACCTGAACTCTCAGTGTGGAGAGGCCGACTTCATCTTAAGCCATCACTCTTCTCGGAAAGATCACGCAAACTCCGATACTTCCAATTTTGGAAGAAAGGGCTGATTTGAATAAAATCTCTGGAAAGTCGTATGCCTGGCTGCAGTCCCACTGATCCCAAAACTGGCTTCAGGCCAGAGGAGAACTAACCAAGTGTGGGTTGGTCATTGAGCTGTGGAACTGGGTTTCCCCGTGGTCTAAACCCAGCCGAGAAAAGAAACCGTGGCAAGCAAACCAGGGTGAGCGTGAACGGGGGACCATCTGTGTGGCGAACAGGTGCCTGCTGCTGAAGTCTTTGCTCTCTCCCCTTGGCTTCCACAGGTGGCTTTTGAGACTCGCTCACATCTGCATGGCCCAATCGGCCCAACATGTTGGCCCACACTTCCAGGCGGCAAGCCGTAAGTAGGCCTCCTCCTGCCCATATGGGGTGCAAGGCGAATTGATGTGCTACCAGGACTTGGCATACGACGCATGTACTGCTTATGCAACAGCTCCTCCCTCTTCCATGCTCCAACCCTTCCTCTCTCCCCCTCTGTTGGCCTCCAGATTGCATACAGCTGGGGGCAGAGACCTATCTTTCAAGTGCAAGGTTCCACATTACGCTGGGCCAACTTGACACCATGAAATGTACGCTAGCGCCACAAGGTTGACGCCGTTTTTTGGATATCTATGTAACGGTTTCATTCCTGACAGGGTGTATTCGTTCCACGTGAATGCAAACAAGCTGGTTCAGCCGGTCTCCTTCCCGCCCAACGCCCTGATCGGCTCCGGCATCCCACGGCACGTGCGCCAGCTGCACACGCTGGCCCACGGCGAGGTGGTCTGTGCCGTCACCATCAGCAACTCCACCCAGCATGTCTACACAGGAGGGAAGGGCTGCGTGAAGGTCTGGGACGTGGGGCAGCAGGGTGCCAAGACCCCCGTGGCGCAGCTGGATTGCCTGGTACGTAGTTTGAGGACAAACATCACCCCCAAAGCAGAAGTGGGGACGTCTCAGCAGGTGCAGGGAAAGCCAAGACTTGAATGGCTTGCAGAGGAGAGATGCCCTTCAGAGTGACATTCCTGCTTATAGGGAGCAGCCGCTTGCACGACTCTGTTCCATGAATTTTGTTAATCCCTTAAAAAAAACCCTAAGCTGGTTGAATACATTTTAACGATCGATTCATCCAGATAGACCACTTGTGGACGCTAACTATGCGAAAGCTTCCTTTTCAAAAGTAAAATATATGGTGAGATTGGATGCATGATTTGGCTAGCTTATAGAAACATAGAAACTGAGCGAGTCAGAAGGGGCCTCCTGGGCCATCTAGTCTGACCCCCAGCTCCAGTAGGTTCTGCTCACGACATGCCCACCATGTGCATGTCTAGCCCATCCTTGAACACCCTCACCGATGGAGCCTCAACCACGTCCTGTGGAAAATTAGTCTTCATACTAAGGAAGACGACATACTTCAACTTCAAACTATAATTAGTCTTCATCATGAAAGTCAAAGAGACCAAGTCTCTATTCCTCATGGCTGTGAAAAGAAGACTTTAAAGTGTATGAGTAGGGCTTACTGAAATCTCATGTTTCCTGCCAGGGGTTCAAGCTTTGTCTCACTCCTTGCCTTCCCCCTTCCAGAACCAGAACAATTATATCCGCTCCTGCAAGCTCCTGCCGGACGGCCGCACCCTCATCGTCGGCGGGGAGGCCAGCACCCTGTCCATCTGGGACTTGGCGGTCTCCACCCCCCGGATCAAGGCTGAGCTGACCTCCTCAGCCCCTGCCTGCTACGCCCTGGCCATCAGCCCTGACGCCAAGGTCTGCTTCTCCTGCTGCAGCGACGGAAACATCATGGTGTGGGATTTGCACAACCAAACCATGGTCAGGTGAGATGTGAAGTCACCTCCAGGTTTCCCTTGGAGAAGGATGCATTTTGGTTGCAGGACTTCTGATAATGTGCAGAAGGTCCCAGATTGGATCCCTGTCAGCTCCAGGTGAGACCCACCAGCATTCCACCTGGAAAAGAGCAAGCTCTGTGGTCCCATGTTTTGTCAAATGTTTTTAGGGCTCACCTTGATGCTTTCTCCCCTGCATGGATGACTGCCTTGCCGTGGCGAAGGGGCTTGTGTAGCTCCATGAAGCTATGAGCTAAGCTGTGCAGGGGCACCCAAGATGGACAGGCCATAGCAGAGAGCACTGACAAAACGTGATCCACTAGAGAAGGAAATGGCAGCCCACTCCAGTACCCTTGCCATGAAAACCCCACGGACTGTACCAAAAGGCAAAAAGATATGATGCCGGAAGATGAGCCCCTCAGGTTGGGAGGTGTCCAATGTGCTCCTGGGGAAGAGCAGAGGGCTAGTACTAGTAGCACCAGAAAGAGTGAAGCAACTGGATCAAAGCCGAAAGGACACTCAGTTGCGGATGTGTCTGGTGGTGAAAGGAGAGTTCGATGCTGCAAAGATCTAAACTCCATAAGAGCCTGGAATGTAAGATCCATGAATCAAGGCAAGCTGGACGTGGTCAAACAAGAGATGGCAAGACTGAACATCGACATCTTGGGAATCAGCGAACTAAAATGGACAGGAATGGGTGGATTTAATTCAGGTGACCATCAGGTATACTACTGCGGGCGAGAATCCCTCAGAAGAAATGGAGTAGCCTTCATAGCAATAAAAGAGTAGGAAAAGCAGTCCTGGGATACAATCTCCAAAATGGCAGATTGATCTCTGTTCGAATCCAAGGCAAACCATTCAGCATCACAGGAGTCCAAGTCTATGCCCCAACCACCGGTGCTGAAGAGGCTGAAGTTGACCGGTTCTATGCAGGCCTCCAGCACCTTCTAGAATTAACACCAAAAATGTCATCCTTATCATCATGGGGGAGTGGAATGCTAAAGCAGGAAGCCAAAAGATAACTGGAATAACAGACACGTTTGGCCTTGGACTACAAAATGAAGTAGGGCACAGGCTGGTAGAATTTTGTCAAGAGAATATACTGGTTATAGCAAACACTCTTCCAACAACTCAAGAGATGACTCTACACATGGACTTCACCAGTCATAGATTGACTATGGGCTCTGCAGCCAAAGATGGAGAAGCTCTATACAGTCAGTGAAAACAAGACCAGGAGCCGAGTGTGGCTCAGATCATGAGCTTCTTCTTGCAAAATTCAGGCTTAAATTGAAGGAAGTAGGGAAAAGCACTAGGCCACTCAGGTATGACCTAAATAATAATCCTGATGAATATACAGTAGAGGTGACAAACAGATTTAAGGAATTAGATCTGATAGACAGAATGCCTGAAGAACTATGGATGGAGGTTTGCAACATTGTACAAGAGGTAGCAACCAAAACCATCCCAAAGAAAAAGAAATGCCAGAAAGCAAAATGGCTGTCTGAGGAAGCTTTACAAATAGCTGAGGAAAGAAGGGAAGCAAAAGGCAAGGGAGAAAGATACAAACAATTGAATGCAGAATTCCAGAGAATAGCTAGAAGAGGTAAGAAGGCCTTCTTAAATGAAGAGTGCAAAGAAATAGAAGAAAACAATAGAATAGGGAGGACCAGAGATCTCTTCAAGAAAATTGGAGATATGAGGGGAATTTTTCATGCAAAGATGAAGGACCAAAATGGCAGGGACCTAACAGAGGCAGAAGAGATTAAGAAGAGGTGGCAAGATTACACAGAAGAACTATACAAGAAAGAGCTTAACGTCCCTGATAGCCACGATGGGGTGGTCACTGACCTCGAGCCGGACATCCTGGAATGAGAAGTCTAATGGGCCCTAGAAGTTTTAGCAACAACAAAGTTAGTTTAGGAGATGGTATTCCAGCTGAACTATCCAAAATCCTAAAAGACTATGCAGTAAAAGTGCTATACTCAATATGCCAGCAAATTTGGACAACTCAACAGTGGCCTTGGGATTGGAAAAAGTTTACACTCCAATTCCAAAGAATGTTCAAACTCCCACACCATTGCACTCATTTCACATGCTAGCAAAGTGATGCTCAAAACCCTACAAGCTGGGCTCCAGCAGTATGTGGACCACGAACTAGCAGAAGTACAGGCAGGATTTCGAAGAGGGAGAGGAACTTGAGATCAAATTGCCAACATACGCTGGATCATGGAGAAAGCTAGGGAGTTCCAGAAAAACATCTGCTTCTGCTTCATAGACTATGCTAAAGCCTTTGATTGTGTGGATCACAACCAATTGTGGCAAGTTCTTAGAGAGATGGGGGTCCCAGACCATCTTATTTGTCTCTTGAGAAACCTATACCAGGGTCAAGAAGCAACAGTGAGAACTGGACACAGAACCACTGACTGGTTCAAAATTGAGAAAGGAGTTTGGCAAGGCTGCATACTGTCGCCCTGCCTATTTAACTTATATGCAGAGCACATCATGAGAAAGGCAGGCCTAGATGAATCA